AGCCAGCCCTCCCCAGTGCAGGGGCCATGCAGCCAGCCCTCCCCAGTGCAGGGGCCATGCAGCCAGCCCTCCCCAGTGCAGGGGCCATGCAGCCACCCCTCCCCAGTGCAGGGGCCATGCAGCCACCCCTCCCCAGTGCAGGGGCCATGCGACCAGCCCTCCCCAGTGCAGGGGCCATGCAGCCAGCCCTCCCCAATGCAGGGCCATGCAGCCACCCCTCCCCAATGCAAGGGCCATGCAGCTACTCCTTCCCAATACAGGGCTGCCTGGCTTGAGGCCCGCTTCATCCGAACCCGGCTTCATCTGTCTGGCATGGTCAGCCTAATGAGCACTAGCTCGACCCAGGGAGGTCTAGCATGGGTGGGACCAAAGGGGATCCCAAAGGACTGCCAGTAAGAACACCGGGGAGACTGGAACAGACCAGGGACATTTACACCCTAGGAAGAATGGCGGTAGGATTCATGTGGTGTATGTCACTGGGGCAAGAACATCGAGGGTGCTTCATCTGCATACTCAGGGGTAACAGGAGCCAGAAGGAACTTTATGAAGTCATATAGGAAGTCCAACCCATATAAATCCAGTGCTCATAAGGACTTCTTATCTGACCTGGCAACCAGTCCCTGTAGCCTTGGAGACGCATGAGCTTATCAGTTGCTATGTGCATCGGGGCACATCAGCACTCACCGGGGAAGCCTGTCTGCTGGGGTCTGCCTGGGCAAGGCCAGGGGGCAACCAAACTCCCCGCCACTCTCCGGATGAGAAAATCTGGGGTTTAGGCATGCTCCGACCCCTTCTGAGCTTCTCGAAGCCGCTTCTCTACTCGTCTTTGGTTCTGTCGTCCCTGTTCATGTGCCAATTGTGTTATGTGACTTTTCCCAAGGAGGCACAAGTGAATGTCTGTTCACAACAGAGAGGTCACTGATGATAGACTCAAGAAGCAGCTCCACTCAAGCCCAGCTCAGTGCACCAGTGAGTTTACTGGTGAGTAAGGAGCATACGTGACTGGCTGAAAGGCGGCTGCATCACCCTGAAGCCCATCCAGACACAGGTGACAGCTGGGGCAGCTGCGTCCCTGGAGTTCCCTGCACGGTGAAAGCTGGTGGCAGGTAACGTGTCCCCTACCAGTTGCATCTCGTTGGGGGGGTGGGGGGTGATGCTGGTAGCTCCTTTAGGTTTCAGCTTTCTGAGACTTGTAAGTTTTGATCAGTTCCCAGGTCTTCACCAGCTTCCCTCTCTCTTCCCGGGCGGGGATGTGACAGTTTGGAGGATTTGCTGTACCACAGCTCCATCCTCACCTCACAGGAAGAGACAGGAAGAGAGAAGGGGGCCAAGCAGGAAGTGGCCAAGGCAAGGTGGAGCTCTCCAGGACTCTTCTTCCAACCAGGCCTGCCTTGTATCATCCCACCTCCCGCTATAACGTGAGTCCACCAAAGGCTGAGTCCAGTCAGTAGGTCAGAGCCCTCGGGATCTGAGCAGCATCGGAAACACTCTCAGACACCCCAGAGGTGACTTCACCAACCCCTTGAGTGTTTCTCAAGCCAATCAATTTGACCATCGAAATTAAGCACAACAAAAAAGTTCTCAGTGAAGGTGACAGCAGGTAAGTGCCTGCTCCCTGGTTTGTAGTCAACTGTCTCTTGCTTGTTTCCCTTGGCGAAAGCAATGAGGGGCTTCTCAGGCTCTCTACAAGGGCACTAACTTCACTGGCGGGGACTCTTCCTTCATGATCTCTTAAAGTCCCCCCTCATCTTGGAGACTAGGATCTCTCTCTCTCCTTCCCTCCCTCCCTCATTCCCTCCCTCCTGCCTCTCTCTTTTCCTTCCTTCTTTCCTTCCTTCCTTCCTCCCTCCCTCCCTCCCTCCCTCCCTCCCTTCCTTCCTGGCTGCATTAGTGATGGAACTTGGCTAACCCATTCCTTGGCACGTATGCGGGAATGATCTTCTTACACAGAAACCTTTTGAAGTAGAGTTTATTTGACATCACAGATTGTGCCTTGATGGTCACTGTCTTTACTAAGTGTTCTCAACTAATCCAAGATCTAATCAAAATGAGGAATTTATCGAATGAAGACCCATTGTGCACACTGGAGTTTCCCCTCTTCCCTGTCACTTCTTTTCAACACACTTAAGTGGCTGGTATTTGTGTATTGACAAGACATGTGCCATAGTCCCGGGGGTCCCGAACACCCACACCCCAGGGGTGGCCCATTACACCCTGGTAGCCTGCCCATCACTGTCAGGGTGGGGAGACCTGAGGCCCTGGTCTCTCTGCTTCGGGAAAGACGCCTCCCTCTTTCTCACTTGTTTCCCACCCTTTAGAGCTGGACGGACGGCCGTCTGTGAGGCAGGGCTGGCTGTGCGGCTCCAGCAGCTGCCTCGCACACTTTCCCTGTCTTGTTGGCTGCTTGCAGACTCCTCCTTCTTCTCCAGCATGTTCTGTCCTCCACACTTCTGGGTGTCTTTGAGAACAGCCCTTTGTTCACTATCAAGAGGAATCTGCAGTCTCTTCATTTGGATGTTGCCTCCTACTCGGCCAAAGCCCTGCTCAGAAAAGGAATGGAGAGCCGAGGGGGTGGGCAGCGGCGGCGGGGACAGTACACAGACTCTGTGTGGAGGGGTGAGGCTCCAGGCTCCACTGCTGCCAGGCTAAGTGGCCTTGGAGCTGTGCAAGCCTGTGACCCAGCTAGTACAGAGTTTCGGTAAGACTAGAAGATTCTGGGTCCTTCTGCAGCAAACCCTAATTATGTCCTTACGTATGTATATAACCAACAAATTTTCAGTGATAGATGTCTTTGGGTAGTAAAATATTAGAAGTGGGTTTTTTGTTTGTTTGCTTGTTTTTTCTTTGTTGGTTTTTCGAGACAGGGTTTCTCTGTGTATCTTTCAAGCCTGTCCTGGATCTCTCACCCTGTAACCCAGGCTGTCCTCAAACACACAGAGATCCTCCTGCCTCTGCCTCCCTAGTGTTGGGATTAAAGGCCTGCACCACCACCACCAGCCTGTTTGTTTTTTGTTTCTCTGTATTTTGCAAATAATCTACACAAGGATTACTGCGGGGTGTGTGTGTGTGTGTGTGTGTGTGTGTGTGTGTGTGTGTGTGTGTGTGTCGTGTGTGTTCACGTGCACAGAGTTGGTAAGTCTACAAAGAAATGCAAACATTTTTTAAAAGAAGAAATGAAACAATTTTTTAAAGTCAAACAAAGGTAAGGGGGGGGGGCGCAGCTGGAAATCCTCAATCCAGCTACAGTCGTTCTGCTGCGACAGCCTAAAGTCACCGCCAGGCAGAACTCTTTGCACGCTCTTCTGGCGCCATCTGCTGGTTATTACAGGGAAGACAGCTTAATTTAGTTTGCAAAGGCGCCCAGAACTGCAGACGCAGTGAACAGCAGTGGGATGACACTGAAGACTGCACTGTTTACAGGCAACCTTACCTATCCTTACCTACAGAACTCGCTGTCAATTTTGCTTTTCTGTAGTGAGCACTCCGGAAAGTTCCAGTGTTTAAGGCCTTGGGACAGTCACCCCTACCTGTGAGCCTCCCGCCGTGGGCTGGAGGCATGATTTAACCCCTCACTGTGCCTGAGCCTCTCAGGTAGTAAAGGCCCCCAGGAAATAGACTTTCAGTCATCATCTGTGCACTGTTGCTTTCTGCTCCATCTAGCTCTACCTCCCCAGTTCTCACAGGTCTGGAATCTATTGGCCTTGGGGCTAACCTTGACCCTTAAGTATCCCTAGGGACCCCAAACAGCCCAAAGTCCTGCGAAGTCCTCAAGTCTGTCTCTCTGCTCACTCAGTCCTGCTTGTCCATCTAACCAGGAGAAGCCTAGCAACTCCTCCACCTTGATGGACTCCAGTTACAGGGCATGAGAATGCAGGCAAATGCCAGTCCTTCTTAATTGCTTCTTCCCTTAGAGGCTGCTTGAAAAAGGTCCCCCCGGCCACTAGAGGCTTGTCTTAAGGGGCAGGACAACAGATGTGTCCAGCAAGGCTTCCTTAAGTCGCCTTGAATGCGGGCAATGGAAGACGCCCAAGCTGTAGTTCTGAGTATTGTTCTCAGGTCCTTCTTAACTTCAAGATCTTCACGTGGTTTCATCAGTGAAGAGTAACGAGAAGCTCCAGTCTTCCAGGATGGAGGAGTGACCCGGGAGCCCTTGATTGGTCCTGCCGCGGAGGGAAGGGCTGCCCTGTTTGGAGGGCGGTAGAGAGGCCCCCTCCCCCCAGCAGCGCCTATATAGCTGAGTGGTGGCCTGGAGAAAGTGTTCCGGAGCAGTGCCGGTCTCCAGGCTCCAGAGGTCACAGTAGCAGAGAACTGAGGTATGTGGCAGGGTTTTCCCAGACCCAGCGGTGGCTTGTGACTTCCCTTCCTGCCTCGGGATCCCAGGCAGGGAAGCTATGAGCACCTCATGCCTAGCGGCCCCTGCATTCTGATGCTACTGGGAAACGCTGCTTCAGGGCTAACTGGCGGGAATTTGCTTTTAAGCCCTTATCTGTGAAAGCTAAGTCCTTTCTCAAGAAATCTGTGCTTTTAAAAATATTTTAAAAATATTTTTTAAAAATATTTGACTCACTCTTAGAATTCTTCCATGATATTACTCTTAAAGATTTCTCCTACCACGATGTGGTCTGATAACATGGGGGTGCAGCCCCTATCGGAAGATCAATAAATATTTACTTCATACTTGGTCCTCTTTGGGGAAAAGATGGTTTGAGTTCGTTGTGATTGGGGTGGGAGGTGCTAGAGGCTGGGTACTTTAGCCAACCAAGGGCTGAGACCGGCAGTGCCCACGGGGATGGGGCAGTGAAGCCCCTCTGCGTCCTCCAGAAGTGACAGGGTATGCTCGTAGGCTGGGATGAGCTTGGGTCTTCTTTTGTTTTTGTTTGTAAAATAAGCATCAGTGTTACCCCCAGAGTTACACAGCCTAACAGGAGCATCGGGCCTGTCTAGGGATGCTGCAGAGAGCGGGGGAGGCATGCTTGCTGTGGTGCTCCAGGGACCCGCAGTCAATCTTCATCTAGGTGATAGTCCCGCCCCATTGTGCTGTAGGAATCTATGTCCCTGGTCAGGATTGACAAAGGGATTGGTGCTGGAGTACTCTGGTGCTGGCATTCAGGGTGGATTTCCACAGTAACTAACTTCAGGAGCAAGACGTCACAGCTGATACAGCTGGAGATGACAGGGACGAGGGAAAGTCCCCGAGATCAGCAGCTCTTTGGACCCTGGGATAATCTTGGCAGTCTCCCAAGTCTTGCTAACTAACATCCCTTTCCTCTAATGCAGTGGTTCTCAACCTGCTTAACGCTGGGACCCTTTAATACGGTTCCTCGTGTTGTGGTGACCCCCCAACCATACAATTATTTTGTTGCTACTTCACAACTGTAATGTTGCTACTGTTGTGAAATGTAATGTAAATAAGTGAGACACAGTTTATCTGAAATGTGAGCCCCCAAGGGGGTCTGGACCCACAGATTGAGAACCTCTGCTCTAATGTCTCTTGAAATCCCTCACCAGCCCTGATTTCTGTTTGGTTTAGGGGCCATCGTGTCCCCAGCAACACAAACCATCAGCAGCACCTGCCCCTGACTTCCTCACAGGCATTGGGGCAGTTAGTGGTGTGTGCTCTCAGAATCAACGCTGAATTCAAACTGGCCACCTATTCCAGTGCAGCTTTGGGCAAATTACTTGGTATCTCTGAATCCCAGAGCAACTTCTTATAAAAACTGGATAAAGTACTTTCTCCTTGTGAAAGTTAGATATCACAGAAGGGCTTGACGTAGTGGCTAACACTTAATAAGTGTGTGACTAGAAGCTATTAGGATGAGTAGAGGGCACATTGTCCCCTGGGTGAGATTGGAGAAGTTGCCAACAGCACATTTTGATGGTGATGGAGGAGGCGGGGGCCCCTGGCTGCATGTCCATCCTCCTCTCACTGATCTCTTTAGAATCAGCAGCCATGTCTTAGAGCAGAAAGGGGACCATAATGGAACAGTGCCACCTCAGGGCAACAGAAAGTGAGGATACTGAAAAGACAGCCCTGATCGGGCCCTTTGGTTCCAACTCTTGCCTCCCAGGGGTCGTTGCCTTGAAAGACCTGGGCAACACAAGGAAAAGCTGCCTTCATTGTGCATCTGTTTTCCTATGCATGGTCAACAGCTTTCTAATCTTCTCATCTGCCCCAAACAGCAAAGATCAGACCAAGTGGAGAAATCCCTGGGCAAAACAGAAAGCTGCCAGCGAAGTTGGCCCTGGGCAGCCTGTGCTTGAGACATCATTATGAGCTGAGGCTTCCTCTAAAATCTGTCACCTCTTGGAGGGTGGGAGACGGAGGCCTGTGGGGAGGGTGACGGCCCAGCCTTTCCCTTGCAGATTCTCACACCATGACGAACCGCCTGGGCACATGGGGACTGGCCATCTTCTGCATGCTGCTTGTCAGCCACTTCTCCACAGTCAAGGCGAGGGGCATAAAGCACAGGTTCAAGTGGAACCGGAAGGCTCTGCCCAGCAGCGGCCAGATCACCGAAGCCCGCGTGGCTGAGAACCGCCCGGGAGCCTTCATCAAGCAAGGGCGAAAGTTGGACATCGACTTCGGAGCAGAGGGCAACAGGTACTACGCGGCCAACTACTGGCAGTTCCCAGATGGGATCTACTATGAAGGCTGCTCTGACGCCAACGTGACCAAGGAGATGCTGGTGACCAGCTGCATCAACGCCACCCAGGCGGCCAACCAGGCTGAGTTCTCCCGGGAGAAGCAGGATAGTAAGCTCCACCAGCGAATCCTCTGGCGGCTGATCAAAGAGATCTGCTCCACCAAGCGCTGCGATTTCTGGCTGGAGAGGGGAGCGGCACTGCGGGTCACTGTGGACCAGCCAGCAATGGTCTGCCTGCTGGGTTTCATTTGGTTCTTTGTAAAATAAACAGCAACGAGGCTGGCAGCCACAGAGGTAAGCCAATGGGCAAAGGTGGGCCGAGGTACCCCAGTTCCCTCTCTCTAGCCCCAATGTGTGATGACTCATGGCACTTCAAAAGTCCCTCCCAAGTACTCCCCTCCCCGCATGTGTTTAATAAGGTGTTTCACTGTCCCCGTGCCCCACCCCCGTGGGAGCCGGCTTGCTCCCACTTTTACACCAGGTGATAAACCAGCGAAAGAACACAGAAACTGTGCCGTGCACTGCATCTGATTCCCCAGCTCGTGGTCGTAGCCAGGAAACTGGGGTTTACATTGCTGAAGTCATCCTCCAGTACAGACAGGATGCAGCAGAGCTGGGGTTCCCCTGCCCTGTCTCCCCTCAGGTTTTCTGCTCTGTGTAGCCTGGAGCTGCCTCATGATCCCTTCAGGACTCAGGTCCCAGTCCAGGCCTCCTGTGTGTGGAGAGGAAGTCCCACCCTGAAATAAGTGGGGATCCCTGGGCAACAGCTATGCACTTGACACCTGACAGTGAGACTGAAATATTACAAAGAAGTTAAACTGAAGTAGACACTACACGAGACGAAGGGTCAGAAGTCAGATTGCAGGGGAATTTGCCACTCACCCCCAGAGAGCAACTTCAGGGTGAGATGCATTTGTAGGGCTAGATACTACTCCACAGGGATTGGTGTTTGCTGCTCTGGTCCCTGCCTGCAATGACCTGCAGGGTTAAGAAACCCCTGGTAAATGACACGTTTGCATCTTTCTTTTTTCTTTCTTTCTTTGTTTTGTTTTTCTAGATGGGAATCTATGTAGCCCAAGTTGGCGTCAAACTCAGGATCTTCTGGCCTCTGCCTCCTGAATGCTGGGATTACAGACATGCAACCAAGCCCAGATTCTTGTTTACCTCTGATGTCCCCTGGTCCTGTGTGTGTGTTCTTGGGTATCCTGTGAGCATCTTCAAACATGCTTGCTTTGTACAGAGCTCTCTGCAATATATATATGACTATTATTTAAATTTTTAAAAAATCTAACCTTTGAAGATCCTTCCACAGGCCCTCCTCCCCTTTTGGGGGCCTCCAGGAGTTGCTGAGGGTATATTCTCTTTTGCAAGGAGCATCTGTGGGGGCTTAGTGGGAACGTTATTGTCAAAGGATTCATCTGCAGCATTTCGGGACATGAGAGCTGATAATAGTACCTCATGTGCTGAGTTCCCACTGCTTCAGTTCTTCTCAAGGACATCTCTGGGAGGCTTCACATGGTAAAGGGCCTTGAGGCGGGCAGCCCAAGGACACACAGCCTACCACGGGACCTTTCGACACTGGTCAGACAGCGCAGAGAAACCAGCCTGCTGCTGCACTCTGGCGCCAACCCCAGACTCCTCGACTCCCGACGTCTGCTACTCCTAAACCAGAGAACAAGGAGAAGCCCCGGACCACAGTCTCTTCTTTGCATGCCATTTTAAATAGCAGGTAGTAAAGAAAGATGGTTCTTAGATGGTGACGTTGGTGTTTCAGCTCCCTGCTCAAGGCTTAATTACTAGGGTGGGCGCACAAAGCTGTTGGTTACCAACTTCATTCTGATGTGAAAATGCTCAGACTGGACATAGTCCATGCACCATGATTACTGTGTTCTCTCATACCACTGCTTGTCCCACCCAGTGAACCTAACTGTGACAGCAAATGAATGTTCATGTGGGATTTGGCTGCAAAGTTTGCCTGTTAAATTTTTAGCTGAGACGTCCTTGCTCTTACAGATCAGAATGAGGATATTCGAGTCTGGCTTTGACTTGGCCAAGAGTTTACTGGCTGACCATTAAGAACAGGGCCCCAAATGGCACTTCTAGATTATTCTAGTAGTGACTTGATAACATGAACAATTTCACCAGCCATTGCTTTCTTATCCCTTCGGAGCGTTACCAAGTTAGCATGTGTGTGTGTGTCGTGTTGGTGCTTAGGCAAGCTGGAGCAGAGTGAAAAGTGGCCACACTTTCACATCCAATTATGTCAACGCCTTCCCATTTCTCCTGACTCCCCTCTCATTCACTCACTTGCAAATGCAAACGTAGAAATTTGCAATCCTAATACAGAGCGCTGGATACCTTAAAACTTTACTTAACTTCATTTAATGCTTTCTGTCCATTTTTTAATGACTTTTGTTTTCTTGTTTCTCCAGCCCCATCTCCCTCCTTCTACCCTGGTTTGAGACCTGCACCCCTTTACTGTATGTATTTAAATATAAAGACAAGGATTTTTATTTTGCTCCATTACAATCTTTAAAACGCTGTGATCGAGTGTATAATACTTGTTTCTCTGAAGTTTGCCTTCCTGACTTAATAGAATGCCATTAAACTCTCTGGATCACTATCTAACTAGTTAACATGTCCTTCTAGATGACTGCGAAATATTCCACAGCACAGATGTGCTGGGACTGACATAATAATTTCCTTCTTGATAGACCTCCAGATTGTTCTTATCTGGCAAACAATAAACTCCCTTATAGAGAGAGCCACGGTGCCTGGTGGTTTTATTTCTCTAGAAAAGATTCACTCCCACAAAACCCCTGCAACAAAGCAGGTCTATAACTCAAAATCTACTTGCATCTCCTGTTGTGTGGGGACACAGCTGGTCATGCCCTCTGTCACAGCCTGAGAATGATCCCTTTGCAGTGTGTGAAGCTGATGCTCCTTCCAACACTGTGTCTGTATCCGCTGTCCTCAGCAGAGGACACACGAAAGCTCCCTGAGGACCTGGAGGACCATTCAGACAGCACAAAACCACTCTCTACTCCAGACCTGGTCCTTGGCTCAAAACACGAGGAAGAGAAACCTCAAAATTTGGCAGTGAGACTGTGGGCCTTCCACTCAAAACAGCAGTGTCTGTGGGCAAGAGGGGACTCCTGGGGTTCAGTTTGACCCTGCCCTTTAGACAGACTCAGTAAAGTTGCCCATGCCAGTCCTGCATCCCAATGAGGATGCTCCAGAGTGCAAGGCTCAATAGAACAGGATGGAGCTCGGCCACAGTAGCCACCCTCCCCTCTCAGCTTAGGCAAAAAACCAATCAGCATCCCTCTCAAGCCCCTGTACCTGACACAGCCCAGGAGGCAGCTGCCAGCCTGCAGAATCTCCTCCTCTGGGCTTCGTGAGATGTGCCACTGGCAGTGGTCATGATCCTCCCTGCCCCAAACTCTCAGTAACTGGCTTAGGTGGTGGCACATTGTATCGGGAACCTCAAGGGCTGCTTCACTTGCAGTACGGACACACCCACACCTCTACCCAGCATTTTCCCTCCATTACTGTGTAAAGCTAGACAAGGGTGCCCTAAGGTGCCTGGGTATTCCCATACTAGCAGGGTCTGTTCTGAAACACTAACAGAAGACCTCATGTGATGCCCAAAAGCAGACAGCCTTGTAACAGAACACACTTGCCAGAACAATCAAGATCTCCACTGATGTGCCGTTGTGACCAGTCCCCACCAGAAGCTTAGACACAGGTCTTTTGGACAGTGAACCTGTTGGCAAGCCTAGCCGGGCAGCAGCCACATGCTTGTCCTTCCTGCCCCGAGGCTATGAGTCAGCCAAGCACAGGGCAGAGATCCACTTCAACTGGGCACCCACATTTCTTGTAGAAGGCAAAGGATCAGACCAGCCTACCACTGGGAATTCAGGACCTTGTCAATGGGAGTAAATCAGGACTTCCTGGAACAGTGGGGGTAAGCTACTGTGCTTGGAGTCATCTCTAAGCCCATCCTAAACTGTCCAAAGAAGGCCCCAAGGAAACACACTCAGCTGGTCCCTTAGCAAGTAGGAATCATTACTTAGGCTTGGAGGCTCAGTGGAAGTGTCACCTCTGAGCAGAAATAGGCACCAAGAATGCTCAAGATCCCACCCTGTGGACCCCAAAGCCCCAAAGCTGTCATATAACAAGCATTGAGCCCAGAGATGGCTGGAAGAATTGGTTTCTCCGATACTGTGTTAGAAGCTTCAGACCAGGATAAGCCACATGAGCTGACCACCCCTCACCCGTAAAGACCTTCCTGGTTGGCATCTCCCAGTCCTCAATCATCACCACCTCCCCAAGAAACCTTCCCTGTGCACTGGTCTCTGCTGGACCGACCACCAGGGGATTCCCAGATTCTATTTTGGTGCTAACCCTTTTGTGGAAGTGTAGCCTTCTTAAACAATGCAGATTGTTTTAACTCCAGATGACTCGACCAGAAAGCTGTGGAAGGAAATTATCAGGGGACAGACAGGAACAAGAGGAAGCCGGAAACAAGCAGGTCAGGGCCGGAGGTATTAATTACCACAGCTGGCCTCCCTGGAGGGAGGGAGAAAGACAGTGTCGGGGAATGGTGATGGGCAGTGGAGAACGCACCCATGGGTGTCCAAGGAAGAAGTTCCCCCACTCATGTTCATTAGAAATGAAGTGAGTACTAGGACTTACCAGAGGAGGGTGTCAGCCCCAGCCACGCACACACAACCCCTGCGGTCCGGTTCAGCACCTCAGAGAAGGGTCTCAAGTCCAAAGCAGAGAATAGATAGGGAAGGGCGCATCAGTGTGTGGGTCTGGAATTTCCAAGCCTATATTTAAGCTTCCTACATTTTTAGCTGGCTCTTTTTTTTTTCTTTCTCATTCTGTGCTACCTCACACTCAAAAACAAAAAGGAATGGGGTGTAACTTAATGGTAGAGCATTTGCCCAGCATCCATGAGGCCCTGGGTTCAACCCAAAGAACAAAAGAGAGAGAAAGAGAAAGAAAAAAAATGAGGGGGGAACAAGGAAGCTTGAATAAGCCAAAATATGTCTTTGGAGTCTGAAGAGATGTCACAGCAGTTAAGAGCACTGGCTGTCCTCCAGAGGATCTGGGTTCCATTCCCAGCAACCACATGGCGGCTCCCAACTGACTGACTCCAGCTCCACAGATCTAATGCTGTCTTCTGGACTCCACAGGTACCACCACACACACACACACACACACACACACACACACACACGCACGCACGCACGCACGCACGCACGCACGCACGCACGCACGCACGCACGCACGCACGCACACGTTGTTCCCAAACATACACACAGGCAAAACACCCATACACATAAAATAAAACTAAATCAAAATTAAACAACAAGAACAACCATGTTCTCCCCTCTGCCTTCCTTTGAACAAAAGGCAAAGGGTTAGTGGATTTTCCTTAGCCTTTGGCCCACTTAGGATGACCAAAGCCTGGAGGCCTCTCCCACCCCCTACTTCTGCGTTAGTGATGTTTTCTGAGTTTCTTCGGTTTCTGGCCAGAATCAAAGAAGTACCCCTGGTTGAATTTGGTGTTGTCTGTAGTTTCAATCCTCTTAGCTGAGAAGAGACTGGCCGGTGTAGACAAATGCTCCCAGAAATCCAGCTGTTGGGCCCCCACCGGGGCAGGCTTTGACTACCATCATTTTTCTGGAGGGCCCCCATGTCCAAATTTCAAGGCCATTGGCCCTCTGCCTTGGCAGATGGATTTTACTTAGATCAGATGGGCACCCAGCACAACTCCTCACTTAGGATCCGTGTTTCAGACGACGTCCACTTTTGCCTCACCCTGGGGTTCCACAAGCTCACCTCGTCTTCATCCCATTTTCATATCCATAAATTCTGCCCACATCTGGAGCTCCTGTGATGTACTAGACCACAGTAGTGGAGGACAGAGACACCATCCCCACATATGTACCCGTGGATAACCAGAGGTGTGTTAGTATACCATTTGGAGGGTGAAGATATACTATTTGTCACTTTCTACAGTGTAAATGGTGACATGGCCAACTTCGAGGCACTAGCTTGACATACTAAATGTAGAGTGTGAGGGAACTAATATGTGTAAAGCTCGAGAGCCAGTCTGACCAGCTCCCACACAATTTCCAATGTCAGTTTAACGTATAACCTTTACACATATTAGTTAAACTCCATAAACAGTTTCTATAGCCTTCCCAAGTCAGAGCTCACAGCAGCTCAGCTGGATGGATGAAAGCCTGCCCCCTCAGCCAGCTGGAGACCCAGGACTAGGTGGGCCTAGGAAGCGCTGAGCAGAGAAGAGATGTGGCACAGGCCACTGTTGGAGCTGAGGACAATTTAGCAGTGACTGTGGACTTTCTCTTACATGCCCAGCGGCCAACCGGGCTGTTGTGAGGTCACTATGAGTGACTCTCTACCACCAGCTTCCTGTCTTCCCGGCCTGATGGAGACCTGAGAAAGTTCTAGCTAAGCCCAAACGTCCTCAGGTATAGCTCAGTGTCAGAGGGGAGAGGAGAGGCATGGGGAAGCAGGGCCCAAGATTTTCTAGGAAGCCTTGAAGGCTTCAGCAGCTGCTCTGTGGACCCCTTACTCGGTGAGGATGTTGGTAAGGGAGAAGCAAGGCAGGCCTTAGGAAAGCGGAGGCCGTGGCTAGGCTTGTATTTCTGGAGATGACTCCAGGCACTGTGGGCGTTGGCTGCAGCACACAGCAGAGACAAGGCAGCTGAATGTGGAACACATTGAGTTTGGGGGGTTCCACTGGGATCATGCTTCTGTCCTGCTCCTCCATTGTCTATTTCTCCTGCTAAGCGGGTGCCGGAGCCCAGGGTTCCTCCAGCTCCAGGCCCCTGCTCAGGCCTCGTGCACCAGCCAGGCAGCCCCAATAGGCTTTTGCATCTCAGGGTCTCCCAGCCCCACTGGACAGGGATTTTCAGAATGCCTGTCCAGGGAGTATCTATTCAAGACCTAGCAGGGATGGCCTGTGTTTTCCACCTCATCTTTGCTGAAAGGGGCTGCTACAGGGAAATCCCCAACGATCTTAAGCCCATGTCCCACAGGGAGGGAGGAACAGCAGGGGCTTAAAGAGTCTGGCGTGTGACTATGGGAGCTCAAGATGGGGGCTTTTAGCCGGCCCTCGAGTCATCAGAGATAAGACTTGGGCACAGTCCAAGAGGAAAGAATGGGGCCACGAGGACAGGTTCTCCTACAGAAGAGAACATGCCCAGGGGCCTGAAGGGCCAGAAAGGAAGAACACGTTCTGTACACCCTGCACTGCTGGTGTGAGTCCAGCGTAGACGGACTGGAGAATGCTGAGAAATGGACCAGACAGCAGATAGCAGGACACAGCGAGCCTCCCTTACAGACCAAAATGAACCCAGCCAAGCTACCCACCACTGGCCCCACCCAACTCTTGGGAATAGGGCTGACTGGGCTTTTTCTATGAGCTGGCCTGGCCCCGGACACACAGCGAGGGGTCTGCTGCACAGCATCTTCAGCAGGCCAATAGCTGGAACAGTGACCCGGAATCTTTAGTTCCATGTGTGGTAAGGGCCTTTAACAAGTACAGGGGTTTGGGGTAATAAATAAAAGGCTTCCACCGTCTGGAGGTCAGGGAAGACCTTCCTACAGAATGATGTTTGAGGGGTGAGACTGAGGCTGAATTAGAATGAAACACATTAAAAACTCACTCCCAACCACCTTGAGAACCTCCTTGGCAATTTCTAATAGTTAAAACA